TAAAATACTTATAAAATCAAATTTATTAAAATTTATTATTTATTATTGTAATTCAAATTAGAAATTATTTAATACATTAATATAGAAATTTAGAAAGTAAATATTGTATATCGGTTAAATTTTTAAAAACAGATATACAATCCATTGAGATATTATAAAATGATACTTATTACTTTACCCTTAGTGGCTAGCTCTTGCATATAAATATTACTCATGTTTGTAAGTCTCCTATAATAGAAAAAATCCTTCATCAATAATATTTCATATTAAATCTTTAGTTATTTATAAATCAGTCAACCAAATGGTTCTTTTCTCGAATAATCATACCTTTTACCTCCTTTTGACATTGGCTATATTTGCCCAATGAAGTCCATGATGTGCCACAGCACCATTATAATTGCTTCTTTTATATTTTCCAAGTCCCTATAGATATTACCAGACACTTTTGCCTTGATGCAACATTTACACTCTATATTCAATTTAACTTTACCTTTCATAACTATTATCATTTGTTCATTCTCCATCTCTTCAATGATCCTCATATTTAGAAGTCAATGCCACACATATTTCTCTCTTGATACATATGTTGCCTCTTTTCTATTTCTTGATTTGACACATTATATACGTTTCCTCTTCTCATTCCTTTTATTCAAACTTAACACATTAGCGATGATCATTGACTTTGACCACTGATATTAATATTCATTTGTATCAGGAACACAACATACCTTTCAATCTCACTGTATTCTCCATATCTTGTTGTTATAAGGGGCCATCACTTAAATTAATCGTATTCCTTTTTGTCTGCCTAAATCATCTCCATTTTCTGAATTTTTATTTGGCCATCAAAGATTTCTATCTTGTATGTCATATGGTTAACCGACCTAGAATGCAATAGACATATCATACTTTACATATTTATATTGCTGCTTCAATTTTTTCTTGCTACGAAGTATAATTCTTGGCATCTACGCTGATGATATTCCATGAGTCCAATATTTTTCTATGGTTGCACGTGTCTATTTATTTCAACAGAATATTGTTTTTTCTAACTTACACTATTTAATTACAATTAAAGGTTATGTTAATACAAATACTTACATTCTTTTCGTGATGCAGGCTAAGCTGCATGGACACAACAATGCTTCCGGCGTTTGTTTGCAATTTTTTCTCACTTCCCATGCACTCTCCTGTTGAGTAGAAAATTAATAAATTTCCAAGTTTTTGTAATTAATTCATCAACATTTATAGCTGCACAGCAAAGTTGGAATTATAGGCAACATTCTTATACAATGTTTAATTTAATAATTAATACTTACATGAGTGTAAGTATTTCCTGTAGTAAATATGATTGCTATAGAAAAGCGTTTTTCTTGAGTAATATTCCTATTATTTTGTAATAAATATATATTTGCATAAAAAAGCGTAAAAAATAAATTTTCTTATTGAGAAATTTTATTTACAATTGTTTATTTACAATGTTTTCATAGACGAAAAATGAACACAAAATAAAAATAAATTGAAAAAACTACCAATCGTGGATGGGAATCGAACCTCGATCCTTCAGCATAGAAATTGCCGACTGTTGCTGATAGGCCACGACTTCATATGAAAAATATTGGAAATAAATCTGTAATTAAGGAAGTAATAAAATTTTAATCGCAAATATCTCAAAAACTATTGAGTAGTTGCCGCTATAATGATATATTTTTTTAAACTGCATGACGAAATCTGCAAAACTGCAAAATTTTAACTAAATCGTTGAAAGGACTTGCACTCTCCTTGTAAGTTGCATTATATGTATGTTATACGTCACATCCCAACGATACGTCTGTTGCAAGTAAACCAGACTCTTATTAAGTGGCAATAGTCGTGAGGTTAACAACGAAATAAAATTGTGAACGTTGTAAAATTTTATTTATAAGCAATATTATTATATATACAGATGAATACATGTAACTTCTTCCAAAATAATCTAATTGATGAAGAAAGGTTATTCAAACACAAAAATCAAGAAACCGTAAGTCTGTATTTCTTTAAAAGAAAATCAATTTTGGATATCTTAAACTAGGAAATTTATTTTAAATGTAAATTTTACATGTACGAATACTTTGTTTAGATTTATCATATAACTGTTTAACGACAAGTTTGATTTCTGAAACCTGTTGCACTGTTATATTCCCTAGAAATTGATAAGTAGCAAACATTATTCGAAATATTACTCTTTTGTTTGAAAGACAAAAGAACACTAATTTCTTAACTCCATTAATTTGGTAATTTATTTCTAGATATAAATCTTTTATATTTTTGTTTCATGGAGATAAATTAGCATAAATTATGCCATTAAAGCACAATAAATGGAAATAATTAACTGTTTAAAATCTAGTTATATCAATTTTCTATATAACTTGCTTATTATTACTTGCGATAACATTGTCGTACATAGAGAACCGGTTTTGCTTCTGGAAAACCCAGATCATCGTAAGGTCATTAAAGATCGTGTTCATACGGTCAGTATTTTTAATTATATTAAAATTTGTTTTTTGATTATTGCTGTCTTATTTATTTATTTCTATGGTGGTGACACAATAACACGTAACTATTTTTATAAACTTTTATATTCTAGACATTGTTCACACAGTGTATGATACACTCATAATTAGGAGATAAAGATTTTGCTAAAAGTAAGAATTTCAAGAAACTTTCACTTTTCTTTAATTCGATTTAGACGTATATTCGATAGAAGAAAAGCATCGATACAGATAAAGTGCAGAATCTAAAAAAAAAAAGAATACTGTTAAATATCTAATATAGGAGTTAAGATAAAGTGAGTAACTCTTTCCGTCAAATTGATCTTCATATTATACTATACAATATGCAAAATTGTATACCTTACACAATTGAAATGTATGCAATTATAAAAATTATATGCGTGATCTAATAAAAGAATTAGTAAACTGATATAATTTGTTACACCCATACTTTTGTTTTCTACAAATCGGTTTTATTTGTTAAAGAATAAACTTATTTTATAAATTGATTTGTCGAAAGATGTGATATTCATCAACTGTTATGTTATTGAAAATTTAATATTTATATGATGATAATTCTACCATAGAAAAAGAGATAACGCGAAAATGCCTATACTTTCGAATTTATCTCGTCGTTTTCATATGTTAACGACCGATGCAAAACCCGATCCACCACGGATACCAATCAGTGGATATACGCACAATTTAGTGTCGAATACGAAAAACAATGATGAATCGAAGAAAACCAACTACGAATCTGTTCCTGTCACTAAAGAAGCACAATTCGAACGAAATAATGCAATACAATCTGAAAAAGAAAAATCTCGCCTGAATAATGCAGTACCTATCGTAGGAGCTAATTGTTCTTCCAAAAAACAAGATCTGAATAATACAAAATCTTCTCCACATTCTACAAAAGAACGAATAAGACCAAATGTTAAAACGAAAACAAAAATGAAACAACATAAACACTGTAAGTATTATTAATTTATTTAGTAAAAAATGTAACACCTATTTATATTCAGATTATTATTTTTTTATTTTACAGCACAAGGGTCCTGTGTCGTGAATTATAATATAATTAATTCAAATGGTGTAAAAATTGGCTCAAGAACGAGTTACATTTGTAATATTAATCAATTTGCTAAAAATAACACTGAAACGTCAGGAGAAACATGGTCGAAATCGAAAATTCGACAACAAATGCCAGTAGAAGTAAAACGTTTATGCGCTTCGACTAACGAAATTACCTTAAATGATATATTTATTATTAAAACTTATATTGGACATGGTTGGAAAGATGTTGCCAGAAAATTATTATATTCAGATGGTCAAATTGAACAGTTTGAAGAAAATTATAGATTCCAAGGCATAAGCGAAGTAAATTTAATTAAAATATTATTAGATATCGATATTTTCGTCCGTATTATCATAAATTTTTGTATTGATGGTCATATTTTTAGGTAATCTATCAAATATTTCTTGACTGGAAACAGGCTAATACAAAAGATGCAGACCTTGGTAATTTAATAAATATATTATGGGAGTGCAAAGAATATGACTGCGCAGAAAGATTAGTCTCTGTTCATAGTAATTCAGTATAAATACATCTTAACTAACATATGTAAAACTATATACGACACATCTTCTTAACAATTTATCTTTTAGTTGGAAATATTCAAACACTAGTTACTATGCATGTTATTTAAAAATAAAAATTATTCCTATCCATATTTAAGTTCATTTAATGGTAATATCTAATGAAGAAAGTTTATTATTATTTTTATTTCTAATATACATTGTATTAAAAAATAATTCTAATAAATAAATTTTAATGAATAATCTATGTATAATATTGAAAATTTCAATATAAAAAGTTGTGATGTAAAATTTGTATATACATGAACAAGCAAGTATATAAACTTTTTATATATAAAAACAATCAGAGAGAGAGAGAGAGAA